GGAAGAAAAATACAACAGAACCAGCAAATCAAACTGAAAACTGTCTGGCACAAGAGATTAGCTGCTATGGGGAGATTGGTTGCTGAGTGACACCTGAGCCTATTTCTGGCATCTACTATGTCTGTCTTCTCCTTTCTTCCTGCTTCCCCATTCGTACTAACTCTGAAGCTGGCCCCATGTGTACTGCTTCCTCCAGCCCAAGGTGCAAGAGATTTTAACTCATCAAGGCAATAGAAAAAGACTTTCCATTTGCAGCAACATGGATGCTCCTGGAGAATGTCATTCTAAGTGAAGTAAGCCAGAAAGAGAAAAAAAATACCATATGAGATCGCTCATATGTGGAATCTAAAAAACAAAAACAAAAACAAACAAACAAACAAACAAAACAAAGCATAAATACAGGACAGAAATAGACTCACAGACAGAGAATACAGACTTGTGGTTGCCAGGGGGGTGGAGGGAGGGAAGGGATAGAATGGGATTTCAAAATTGGAGAATAGATAAACAAGATTACACTCTATAGCACAGGGAAATATACACAAAATGTTATGATAACTCAGAAAAAAATGTGACAATGAGTGTGTATATGTCCATGAATGACTGAAAAATTGTGCTGAACACTGGAATTTGACACACACTGTAAAGTGATTATAAATCAATAAAAAATGTTAAAAAAAAAAAGAAAAAGACTTTCCTGAGTGAGTCACACTGATTTCAATATACAACTTTAGGAGAGGCTCTGAGAATGCCTCAGTGAGGCACAAGAAACACCTTCTTACTGGAGAAGCTCACTCTCAGGGTAAGTAATTTTGAGCAAGGAAGGGTGTTGGGGAATTTTTTTTTCATTAATTTGGCTGCAAGAGAAAAATATTGCCTAAAAAAATCTGCTGATGGAATCACGGGATGACTCCAACTCTGGAATGAGCTTAATTTTCATGTATTTTGGTAAGAAATTTGGCTCTTAATTTGGATTTCAGTCACTCTACCCACTCAAGGGCAAGATGATAAGGTTCTATCAGACTAAGCGTCTAAACGAACCTGAGACTCTACCAAGGTCAGAAATGCTGCACTTCAAGCCAAAAGATCTTTCTTGGGCTTACTTGTTTTGACTTGTAACCACAAATTTGTCTTGTCTAAGTGTCCAATCACGTTATAAAACAAAGCACCCATCTCTGCAGTACAGCATCCTCTGAAGCAATAGAAGTACTAAATGTACGTTTTCAAGAATTCTCTAATTTTTCTGACCCTCTGAATTCCACAGGACTTTAAATTGCTTCCCCTGAGATCAAGCAACACAAGATGGTTTTGGAAATGCTGAACCCAATGCATTATTATAACATCACCAGCATGGTGTCCGGAGGCGTGCCTGTTGCCGCTATGGCAATCCTGCTGCTCGCTGCCTTTCTCCTCTTGGTTTGGAATCATGAGGACACATCCTCAATACCAGGTAAGTCAGTCATTTAGTTCTGTACTTAAGGAGATTTTTTGCTTGGGCTTTTGGCCCATGAGGGTAAAGGAAATTTTACAAAAGGACAAAGAACAAAGCTGAGGAGATGGATAAACACAATGACAATGTTAGCGAGTGAGGACTCAAGGAAATATTTTTAAGCCAGTTATCTGCACATGTTAAATAAAAATATCAAAAAATGTTTTAGATACTCCCTTTCAGTCCACACTTTACTTTAGTAAAATAGAATTGACACAAGTACCCTTTAAAGTAAGTTTAAGAAGGGATGGAGCAAGGTAAAATTCTAGGGCGTTTTTTCCTCTTTACTCAAATATACTCCAATTTTGCTCTGAAGGTGAAAATATCTCTGGAATGCCTTCTGTACTCCCTTCCTTCTCCCTCACACTTTCCCTCATCCCTGTCTTCTGCCCTCTCCCTTTCTTGAACTTAGCCCTTCTCTAACCCGCTCTTCATTTTCTTTTATTCTTGGGTTGTAATATTGGTGCCACTACAAGGGCTGGGTGGGACGTGGACAGTGGAAGAAAAATGGGACCACTAGGGTTCCCTTGGAACCATCACACCCTGAAAGAAACTTCAACAAGCTCTGTGGATCAATCAAAAGTAGAACATAATATAATTACCCAGATAATTCCAGTAGAAACCCCACCACCCCACACTATCAGATTAACCTACAAATACCAGACTGTATTTTAGTTATCTGGGAAAATTCCTCATGGCAGACATGTGACCACAACCCAATAAGACATATGATAAGGCTTTATTTCAAGAGCATGGTCATTAAACACTTTCACGTGTGGTGGGCCTCTTCACAGCGTGATGCTGAGTGGGAGTGTGGGGTTGGTGCAAAGTGTCCTGGGTCTGGATTCTAGAGCACATAGTCCTGTGGTTCTCAACCCTGCCTGAGGTGAGTCCTCATGTGGATTTTTAAAAAATCTCCCAGAGTGATCTTCCTGAGCAGTCAGAGTTGAGAGCAAAGTGAGGAGCCCAAACCCTTCATCTGGGGAAGGGAAAACTGAGCCCAGAGAGGGCATCTGCCTTGTCCAGGCAAATCCTTATGATAAGTATGAGAAACTGTGTTCAAACGCCTCTTTCCAAAGGTGAGGGGCTAAAGACCAGAGAAGGGAAATCACTTGCCAGCACCTCAGCAGGAAGGAAACTGGGAATAGGAGGGGCGGGGGGAGGGGGGGCGCACCAGGAAGTCCTAAACCCCAGGTGGATGATCATTTTGCTACCAGGGAGCTTCTAGTTCTATGCTTTCCCTGGGAAAATGTGAAGTCTGTTCAGAGCCCTCTAGTGGCCCAGACTGAGATCCTGTGACTCCTGGCTGGGGAAAGGAAGGTCAGGACACTGTTCTTGTTGGATGGTTCTTACTGACCAATACTTTTGGATTTCTTTTGCTAGATTCCTCCAACCACTGTCTCTCTCTGGCTTCTTGGTTTTATAGGTTGGGGATTCTCAAGGTCAGTGAAAACCAAAGAATTAACAGGGTATAATGAGCCAAAGCCCTTAAGTAAGTTACAGTTTTCAAAGCAGTTTCATGCAGTTTCGGCCATGTTCTCTTGTGAACCTCCTGGTATTCTGGTGAGGTGGGTGTGCTGAGGCCTATTTTGCAGATGAAGAACCTTAATACTTACAGAGGGTAGATGTCCACAGCTAGTAAGTGATGAAACTGGGACTCAGATATAAGCTTCTTCAACCTCCCTTTACCGAGAGGCCCTAGGATATCTGATGCTGGGGGCGGGGGGCCAAGGAGTGTGCAAAGATGACACACATAGGCAAAGGACTTAGTGCCAGGGAGGGCTATGATGGCTGGGGGAGAAAAGAGTCACTCCTACTTGGGGGTTTTGTAAGCTTCAATTTGGGGAAACTGCCCCAGTTCAAAGATCTCTGCCCAAGATTCCACCTGGCAGCTGTCCCTTCCCCAAGGACACAGGGCCATGCCCAAACTTACACGTGCATCTCTCCCCAAGAACCTCTCTCTACCCTGAGCACCACATCCCTAGGAGGCACTGGGTAAAGGACATGGCGACAAAGTCCCCTTTTCCCCATTAAAAATCTGCTTTACAGAAAAGTGCACAAATAAATGGGTCCTCACAGTCCAGGACAAGAAATGTTAGCAGCATCCCAGAAGCCCCTCAGGTGCCTTTTCAAGCATACCCTCTTTCACCCCTAGAAGTAAACAATCATCTGTTTTGTGACGATCACTCTCTTGCTACTTTATAGTTTTTTTCACCTAATTTCACATTCCAAACAATATACCTTGATTGTGCCTGGTTTCACATGTTTTAGCAATAGAATCTTACATTACTATTCTTCTATCTTGCTTTTTGGATCACTTTTATGCCTATAAGGTTCATCCAGGTTGTGGCATGCAGCTGCAGTTCATATGGTACGCATGAACATCTCATGGTTTAATCGTCCGTTCTACTGTTGATGGACATTTGGGGTGTCTCCAGTTAGGGGCTACTGTGAACAGTGCTGCTATGAACGTTTGTGTGCACAGGTTTCTTTAGGGTGTATACCTAGCATGGAATGCCACAGTGGGTGGGAAGTCCTAGCTGTTGGCTTCATGGAGGCTGTTTCTGCAGAAAAATGCAGTGAAGTATTTACTGCTCCTCTCAGGGTGTGCAAGAGGCTCCCGCAGTCACTGCATGCCTAGATAAGCATTCCTGAATCTGAGAAGCAAAGGGCAGCTTAATGTGGATGCAACCAGTATTCACCTAATAGCCTACCAAAATCTCTCCCCTCCTAGAGCATCCTTCTCTCTAGCTGGAGGGTGTAAAATATACAAGTAAATGAAAGAATCACACTAGTTATACTTATCATACCATCTCCAGTCTCTAACTTAGAGCTAGTGTTTTTACCTAGCAGCGGCTCAGTGTCTCCTGGATGAGTAAGGTTGCCTATGTTCAGTAGATACAGGTCTTCCACTGTCATATTTGAAATCTGAATTGTGGTTCCTAAATACTAAGACTTTCTATATAGCACCAAACTTTTAAATAAAACATAAAAAGCACTGCCTTTCATTTATATGGTTTTGTTGCTTATGGGCTTAGCGTATGTTTATGCTAAGTAAATGTCTGTTGACTAAGTCTATTCCCGAATCGAAAGATGTTTGACTTCACATGGACTGAATGTATGAGATAAAATGATATTTTTCCATTTTTACCAAAATGTAATACATCTAAAATACTCTAAATAAGGATACCATTCAAAACTTTATCCTTTACACGTGTCTAATTAACTTCAAAAATTCATTCAGGAAAAATTTATTGAGTATCTACAATGTTTTAAGCTATAAATATTTAGTAAAGTATATTGTTATTATGCACATTTCAGTTAATAAGAGGTCAGTATATCTGATGACATTTTAAGGAAATATGTATAAAATCAAAACTGCTTGCTTAATTCTTTTTGAGAACTTAATGACATTATTTTAATATTGTCAGTTATTTACTAACAATACAGTGTTATCAGAACAATTCTAAGATTAAGAACTTTTGACCCAAAGAACCCAAATCCTTGTTTTGTCCTATAGACATTAACAAAGAAACTTAAAGACAGAAAAAAAAAATTCTGACAGTCTTGTCCACATTTACCCAGCTACTGCAAGGTTATGAGTAAACCTTTTTGCCAAATTTGGGGCTAAGCTTCAATTTAGATGATTTACACAAAAACTTAGATTTCATAGATAATTACATAACTCTTGTCCATAATGTGACATCACTGTACTATCCTGGTCAGTTGTGTGAGTTTGGCTTCATGACCATTTCACTGAAAGAATGCAATTAAAGGACTAAGAGATAGAAATGTTGTAACTTTACAATAAAGCTCCTAAAACCATTCCAAAAAGTTTCTGACTCACTTTTCACCACCACCACTAAAATCAGCCACCCTGTTTGTTCTCTGATATAAACAACAGCAAGTTCGCTGGCTGTTCACTGGATTCGTGCTCTTCACAATTCTGTCACCGTCTACATAAGCAAGGGTGTGAGGGCCACTGCTCTTCAGTAAAACCACATCACTGAACTCAGACTCTGGTCTAGACACTGATCAGACCCACTGCCTAATTCCTCAGTGCTTAACTTTATTTGATCTAATGAGATTTAGCTGAGATTCTTTTCTTAAACGGAATCCTTTTCGAAGGAGGAAAAAAAAGAGAAATGAACGCTTTTTGTTTGCACATTATCTTTGCAGACCATGTTCCTCACAGTTAAAAGGATGACACCAAAACACAACCTAATTCAAACCCACCCATTTCACAGACTTGTGCTTTCAAACACAAAGTTTTCAGATAAAACTAGGCAGCCAGATCGATCCGTCAACACATCACTTGTCCTGGTTTTCTTGCTTGTTACTAGAGGGACTGACTGAGCTGCATTTGAAACTCACGGACACCACTTAACACAGCAAGAAAAGAGTAGACACCTGCTCCAGTTGATACGGAATGAAATGACAGAGACCAAATGTAACTGGAGCGGTGCGTACCTTGGACTGTTTCTCACTCATGGAGCTGAGATCCTCATGTTAAGCTTAAGCTGTTGTTTTAATCGTTTTTCAAATGTGTGATTCACCTATATACATCAGAAGATGTAAAAGAACGTTTAGAGAAAAACAACAGGAAACAGCAGTAACTTCGAGCAGTTTGTCTTTTTGGTGTTGCTGAAATACTGACTGTGATCTGATGACTTCCCTAGGTCCTGGCTATTGTCTGGGAATTGGGCCCCTCATTTCCCACTGCAGGTTCCTGTGGATGGGGATCGGCAGTGCCTCCAACTACTACAACAAGATGTACGGAGAATTCATGAGAGTCTGGATATGTGGAGAGGAAACACTCATTATCAGCAAGTAAGTCTGTTACTAATCAGGGACATATTTTATAATCAAGGCTGGGGTTTTATCTTTTAGAAAAGAAACTTATTGTGATATCTGGCCATCTTTGTTTCTATATTTTTACTACTTATATGAAGGTGAGTAATTTCTAGATAAAACTCTGAAACTGTAGACAAGTGCTATGATTAGGCTTTGCTTGAAGCCCAAGGTACACAGATAAAGAATTCTGGAGAGCTGCAAAACTATTCAAACTCTCCCTGAACAGTGAATATAGAAACTCAGATGCACGTGATTCGGCTCTGACAAAACGTACTTTAGGGAGAGGTATCATCTCATTGCTTTCCTAAGATGTTGAGTTTTATCCCTAAAATAACCATTAAAACAAAGAACAATAACAGAAACAAAAACCTGAGACAGAGAAATCTGACTGTATCTATTTCCAAATGTGTTTCTAATGCCAGGGCACTGAGAAACTCTAGAAGGGTCGTCAGTGGAAGAAGGCACCATTCATATGCTTCTACCCTATTGGTGACTGGGTGCCAGTGTCCTTGTGAGTGACATTATGCAAACTAGGAACAACATTACCTACGAAAAAATGTTCCCCTCACTCTCCCTGCTCTGTTATATTTTCTGGATAACTTCAGCAGGTTGAATTCACTGGAGGATTAACCAAATATGCACTGACTGTGAAGAATTAGTTTTGTGAAATAGTCATTTTCTTATTGAATGATCATAGAAAACGCAGAGTTTAAAAGAAAGCAAACATCAGTAGATGTTCTAGACACTCAGCTCTATTTCCTAGATTGTCAGCAAAGCTACCTCTAAGTTGTCACATTATGAGTTTTTATATTTATAATCCTTGACAAGATTTACCCACAAACTAAAACTGAGCAAGAGGTTTTTATGATATTAGAATTATTTGATCAGATACACACTATCGCCCAAAAGTAAGTGAAGCATTTCTGGAAACTACATTGGGTTTTTTTCCAGGCCAAGATAACAAACATCATTTTGTAAAACACCATGATGAACTCAAAGCCCAATTCTTTGAACCAAATACATGAAAAAGGGGAACAGGGAAGAAAAATCTGCTACCCTTCCAAATATTTCTTACTCTACCAGAATGCTATTTTCGACCAAACCGGTGCCTAGATAGCCACCTGGGTTTTCTCTGTTTCGCTCAGTGTGGTGTTGTAAAACTTCAAAGAATAGCTAAGGCAGACCACGTTTATACACTTAAACATAAATAGCTTCAGGTGGAAATGTTGTTCACTGGGTTCATAGTGAAACAGTCCAAGGCTGTGGTTCTAAGAGCGGGGTCCCTCCATCAGCAGTATCCACATACCTGAGAACTTGTGAAAAACGCCCATACTTGGGTCCCACCCTGGCTCACTAAATAAGAGTCTGGGGGTGAGGCCCAGAGATCGCTTTTCACAAGCCCCCCAGGTGACTCTGAGGCACACGCCAGTTGGAGATCCACTGCTCTAATAACAAGAGCAGAGTTAGTCCTCCATTTTACTTCCCTTGGTCTACTGAGCGCTGCTCAGATAAACTGGAGTGCATCTGGTATGTTCTCATTTTCAAAATCAATACTTGACTCACTTTTACAACTGACTAGTCTCAAAATGTCCTAGAACCGATGATAACTGGGCTTGGGGGACTGGGACACGCGTCCTGCTCTTTCATTCCCCAGCACAGCAGACTGCCTTCCAGCCCTCCTCAAGTCAGTGTCTGCCTTCCCTGTCACCCCCTGCCCTCAGATACAGGTGAAGGGACCCACAGGCTATTTCTCCAAAAGGCTACTGCCTGCAGCTCAGGACCCAGAGCAGTGCTTCTCACCCTGGCTGCACATTAAAGTCACCCACTGCCCAGGCCTCACCCCAACTTTTACAGTCTCTGGGTGGGGGGACCCAGGCATCAGTAGTGTCTACAGCTCCCCAGGTGATTCCAGTGTGCTGCGTGCAAAGCGTGAGGGAGAAGAGAAAGTAAGATGCTTCCAGGGCAGTGGGGCCCTTCCCTGGGGTTAGGGAAAATAGCTAAGCAGGTTGGAGTGGTTTTGTCTCACTGTCTCACCCTTAAGTCTAGCTCAGGGGGTGGGAGTGCAAGTCCAGACCTGGAGGGAAGAAGGAAGCACGCGAGGAAGGACTGGAGGGCCAGAACAGAAACTGCCTGTACACACTAGATACTTAGATCACCAAATAAATTCCCAGGAACCCCAAAGCCGATTCCTGAAATAGGAATCTCGATACGGTACACGTGGCTTCTGACCACCCTGTTGTCCTCATCAGGAACGTGACCGTAGCGACCCTGACAGAGTCAGGTGCTGATTCACGCTGAGGACCTGGACAACAACCCACTCTGCCCCTCTCCCCGCTCCCCCAGCTCCTTCCTTGTCCTGTCCTCACAGGCTTTTCTCTGGTCGGAGCCTCTGTGTTCTCCTTAATTGCCTCTGAGCCGCTCAATTTTGTTCTTAAGGGCTGAGCTCCCCTCAGGAATAGGACATGTTTGTCCCCATCTCCTTCCCTGCCTGCTCTTCTGGTCCTTCCAGAACTACCCGTACTTCTTGAAAAGACCCCACTGGACCTCACAAAGCTTTTTCTTTTTCTTTGGATCGTTTGCCAGATTTTTCCTCTTCTGAAAAATATGACATCTGTAGTCTTTACAACTGTGCTGAGATTATGGCCCAACTTCCCAAACTAGCTACGTCCTGAAGTGGTGGGGGCTGCAGAACTTCAGGTGGGGGGACGTCAGGAAGGATTCTGCTGAAGCAACTGGGAGCTTTGGGGGAAGATCCACCTGGTCATCTGTGGATAAAATGTGCTCGATTCCCTGGGCAGGGATGCTCTAAACGAATGAGGGTCTACAGACGTCATGCAAGACACTATAGGTCGTGTGTATACATTAGTGTTTGTCATGAATATCAAGCAAGAATGTAAGTAGCATGCATTCCAAGGGGACTTGGCATTTAACATGCTAACCAGGGTCGTATCTGTGAGTCTGTTAGCAATTTATATACCATTATGGTTATACTAATTATATGTCTGTTTTAATTATATATAAATTTATACTGAATTCATTAGTTATTCTGCAAATATACATTTATTGAGAACTGACTATATGCCAAGTACTGGATGATGCTAACCCATCATAGTCATTATTCACTCTCCATTCATTCACTGAACAAATATTTATTGAGACCTTCTTGTGTACACCAGTAACCATGAACAAACCAGCCCCAAATCCCTACCCTTCTGGGCAAATACACTGTTACATTGCTAACAGACCAACAGTGAAAAGGTAAAACATACGTTATCAGTAAGGTGACCAAGTGTCTTGCTTTGCCTGGGACTAGTGGATGTCCCACGATGTGGGACTTCCAACGCTAAAGCTGAGACATTCCTGGACAAACCAGGGTGGTTGTCACACTATAAGCAGGTAGAGAAGTGCTATATAGAAGATGAGATGTCTGGAGCGAGTCTGGGAGGGTGAGGTAACAGGATCCTATTTCGGATATTTTGACTTGACTCACCTAGAGGACACAGTTGAATGGGAGGTTAAGAAAGAAGGTCTGAGCCTTCAGACCCTCCACTGTAGTCAGAAACTAGCAAAGGAGGCTGAGAAGGGCAGCCACACAGAGAACAGAAAAACTAGGAGAGTGTGATGGTCTGAAAGCCAGGTGAGGAATGCGGTCAGGGAGGATGGAATTGTCAACCTTCCGGATGGTGTCACATGACTGGACAGAGACAGGGGCATTGTATTTAGCACCAGGGAGATCATGAGTCTCTTTGACAAGAGCAGTTTCAATAAAGTGGCAGCAGCAAAAGTCTGACCCTAGTAGAGAATCCAGGGAGAAGAATCAGAGGCAGCAGGTACAGACAACCCTTCCAAGGAGTTTGTCAGAAGGAGGCAGAGAAATGGAACAGAGCTGAAAGGGACGTTCTGTCCAAGGAGCTTTTGTTTGTTAAGATACAGGATATTATAGCATGCGTGTTTTGATGGGAATGGTGAATTACAGAGGAAAACTGATGATACAGGAGAAAGGAGTGTGTTAGGGAAGATGTGAAGGGGCTCCATGTGACAAGTGGGGCTGGCCTTGACAAGGGACACAGAAGTTCATCCACAGTAACAGGAGGGAAGGTTGAATACATGGTCCCAGATCCTGGTGGTTGAAGGGTGCAGAGATTCTAGTTGCTTACGCTTTTTAGTAACACAGGAAATAAAGTCTTTAGCTGAGGCTGAGTGGGGAGGGAATGGAGCTGAGTGGAGAGAGGGCGAAGAATAAAATAGTTATCCAAAAAGGTGAGATTGGATGGACTAGGAAATGTAGTAGAATTGCCTTGTGCACGAAGGGCCCACTTGAACTTAACTGAGTCCTGCCTGTGTGTATACGCGCGCGCGTGTGTGTGCGCGCACCTTTGCGTGTATGGATTTTTCCCCAGCCCCATTCAGCTGCCAGGTGCCAGCACACAGTGAGCTAAGAGTTGGATTTAGCCAGAGCTGAGGTTTTACCAGGCAACTAGAACACAGCATGGGGAAGGCTAGGAAACTGAGGATGCGTGGAAGGGAGAGACTCTAATGATTCACAGTTAAATATTTTTCCACCTCCCTTGTAGAACAGTTCAAATGAACACGAAAATTGAAAGAGCAGTCCTCCTACGTTTTGCCCCCGTGACCTTGACCTTCCCAAGAGATGAGCTCTGTTGTCTTACAGGATGTCCCACTTTCCAAATTTTGCTCACTGTCTCATTATTGTGTTATTTAACATACTCTTGATTCTCTGCATTGCTTACAAGCTGAACACTAGTTCAAAAGGCTCAGTGTGATTCAGATTAAACGTTTTGTCACAAAGCTTTCTTGTTAGTCCTGGGCACTTCCTATTGCATCACGACAGGAGACCAGGAAAGGCAGTCCCATATAACTGGTAGGAAATTTGATCAGGTTAGGGTGTTACCGTCAGATCTCTCTGTTATAAGGATTCTTTTTCTCTTGCAATGACCCCAGTATTGAAGCTGGGTAAGTGAGGATATTAGAGGGCAA